CAATGGGTACTGCTGTATAGGTGTTTTAAGCTTTACACCGTACAGTTTTAAAAACAAAGTTTTTAATCTCATGCAGCGAGAAAAGATCTTTTACCATGCGAGTTGGCTGCAGCTGACCCTAAGAAAACGGAACGTGGATATGGGGTGAGGTAATTTGGCTGGTGGCCGTGCTGCAATAGTACACAACAGGTTTTCTCACCGCTTCCTAGGATATTAGATTTAACACTACAGACAGGGGATTACAAGTGCTGTGAAATCAGGAAATAAATTTCTGCTTCAGGAGTTCAGTGCGTTAAGTTCCTTTAGCATTCCTTAACAGAGATGTGTCTTTGGAGGGGGAGGGATTTAGCTTTTAAAAATAGCACCAATTTACTATTTTAGTCTGGTTTAAATATAGTGCTAGTGAAAGATGCCAGACTAATTGTTCCCAGACACTCCATACATTTCCCACTGTCGCACAAAGTTTGTGGAAAGCTGGAATTTAAACCCCAACACCCACATTAGCCCAGTGTCTTAACCTGGACCAAGCACTTTGCATCCTCACGCGAAGCAGGGACGCACACCTTCCTCCCAGCACTACCAGCAGTGTTTTACATCTGAAGCAGCCACGCACTCCTACCAAGGCCAGGAACCGCTATGATCTATTTACTGCCCGGTTCTCTTGATAAAAGTACCGGTTCCTATCATTTGTGGTCCTGTATTTTGTGATCAGAGGAGAAAGATGACAGATGGACACCAATCTCATGTGAGCCAATAGTTTTTGGTCAAAGAAAAAGCTTGTATTTAATTTGGCAGCTTAGGAAGCAAAAGACTCTGGAAACTACTTCTTTTCCCTTGGGAAAAGTCCCTACACATGAAATCTGTGAATACCCCACAGTCAGGGCTGGTTAGTTATTCCTCTTAATGATGATTAACCCTGATACCGTAACACAGGGGAACGAGCGTCTTAACGGGAACATCCCTTCTTACTGTACCCTCTGAACCATGGAAGATCATTTACAATTCCTTACAAGGTCAAAAAAATTTCCTGTGACTTAAACCAATCCACAAACAATTTTATACAGATGAATAAACTCTGCAGAGGCAAATATTTCTCAAGTGGTTTATAGCAACAAAGACACCAGCCTAAGACCCAGGTCCCCGTACAGACTCCCAGGCACTGCTTGGTTTCTCCACCCCGAGCGAGGCTCCAGGTCAGGTTCCCATAACACGCGTTCATGGCAGAGCAGACTTTGGGTGTAATGCTTTCCCAGACCCTTCCGCTCCAGTAAATGCTCTGCTCCTAAAAAGACTTGCAGATGAACAAGCTTGGTCGTACCCAAGCAGATCTGCACTTCTTCTGGAAGCCCAGGATGGAGGAGCAGGCTCTGGAGCAGCTCCAAGCATCCCTTGCAACCCATCTCAGACCATCTCCCATCTCTGACAATATCCCTGGCCGTTTCGTGGGTGCTGTGCTTACCATCTGGGAATGAGAGGACAGGATGAATACAGGAGTCCAGTTGGGAGAGGCGCTCCAGCAAAGGGGCATCATACTGGATTTCCAGAGTCGTTGAGCTTCGGGTGCCACACAGAGCACACGAAGGGTTCACATCACAGCTACATCGCACCAGGCTATTACGATGGACCTGGAAAGGGGACAGAGGACAGCGTCAACATACCAGAGGTCAATGTGTCTAAGGGCTCTCTTCACACGTTCCCCTTTGACAGCTCATGAAAAACATCTTAAAGGCTGTTGGGTTTTTTTTAATACCTTGTATAAAATCTGTTCATTTCGTCTGGACTCATAAAAGGACGCTTTCACTTTGCACAAACACAACTGAAAACTACTACTTACCAGCACGGTTTAACATCTACTAAATTTGACTAAAAGTGGTTTAATTTTATCTAGGTTGAAACCTCGTTTATAAAAAACCATGAAGCAGCACAATTCAGTTGTCAGAGGGGGGGGGGAAAAAGTCTTTTTGAGTTCAGATGGGTCAGAGAGCTATCACTACATGGCAAGAGCTGACACTTACAGGGACACCTTTACAGAGTGAAAAAGGGTGTTTTTCAACCTCGTTTCTTAAACCAGGCCAGACTTTCAATTCACAGATGTATAGACTTTAAACAGACTTCATTTGTATGAAACGACTGTAAGCAGTCGCACAACTGGATGTAAATCCCATACAGAGACAGCAACCTACGATTCCCCATCAAAATGGAAGGATGTATCAAACTGGATCCTGCAGAAGTCTCTTCTGAGTCCAGTATTATTCAAATCATTTCCATTAATGACTTGAACGATGGAAGAGAGAATATCCTTAAGCCTTAGCAAATAACACTAGAACTGGGAAGGGCTAGCTGCAAGCACCTTGAAGGAAAGAGCTGGAAACCCACTCATGGTTACAAAGGAAGAGAAACCATCTAAAATAAATCAAATATAATTCACTGAGGGCAAATGCAACAAGTGGACACTTCAGTGCTCAGTAAAGAGGAGGAAGAGGTAACTGAGCAGCAGCTCTGTCCCGAGGATCTGGTGGTTGTTATGGATCAGAAAACGAGCGTGAATCGGCAGTGTCGTACCATTACTGAGAATTAACATAACTGAGAATTATAAACCCCACAGGGCTTTATAAACAGGACGGCTGTGCGAGACGCCCGAGGTAATCCTGCCACTCTGCTCGGCATCGCTAACGTGAGCTGGAGGGCTGCACCCAGTTTGGGCACAGATTTCAAGAAATGTGTGCACCAAATAAATAGGAAAACAACAAAAAAATTACAAGGTCCAAAAGAAGAATACGACCTATGTGTAAAAACAGAAAGACCCGTGGCACGTTTACTGCAGAAGTGACCACATTAAGAATTACCACATCAACTTTCACACTTCAGGAAGAGCTTCTGAAGCGATGAGGGGAGCTGACCAGTTTACACCAGGACTTGGACTACTGGTAATGACTTTAAATGGCAGGCAAGGCAGCTTAAGTTTGGTTTGTTTGGTTTTGCTGTCTGAAAAACAAGACTAGCTAAGCACTCAAATAGCTTGCCTAAGGAGGTTTAGACAAACCGTCTGGCACAGTACGAGGACAAAGCAGTCTGGGACACGGGGATGCTGTGGGTGACTGCAGGAGACCCCTTCCCATCCTGCTTCACAAGATCAGTCCTGTTTCCCACCCGATGCAGGCTACAGACTCACTCAACCTTTAAGCCACTTTTCTTTCCTACCAGACATCTCCTAACTTAAAAATTGTCAAGCGATGTTGTATTCAGATTTTGTAGAACAGCACGCACAGTTAGGGATGATCTCTACTGAAACAGTGAACTCTCCTGGTTCTAATTTCTGGTCGCAGCAATCAACAACCACTTGGTGCTAGACAGGAGAGTGTGGTCAAACTGGACCTGGTATTTCTGGACCACTATCTAGCCATCACTCAGCTTTCCCTCGAATAACTGGAGGAGTCCACAAAATCCTCTGCTATCTGGCACATCTTCATCCTTTGGAACTGCTCTTCTGAACCAGCCCTGATTATCAAATGTATTTGATGACTACAGTCAAGATCTGAGACAGAATTAACAGCCACTTCTTCAAAGACTGAACACAAGTCAGCATCATCTAGGAGATAGTTCGTAAACTTCCAAATCACTGAATATCTTGCAAGCAGCCACTGTAGACCTCTACCTGAAATACCCCAGATAAAACTGCAAATGAGCAATCAGTTAAAGCTAACTCAGCTGAGTGAGAATCTATTTCACTCAGAAAAACGCTGCTTTTTGAGCTTCTCTTTAAAACTCCAGCACCCACAGAGTGAAAACCCCCGAACCCCTGTGGTAAAGTTTGACTTGAAACACTTTGACTCAAAAGGTAAGTGGATTTTTGCCATCTATGGTTCTGCAATCACAAGAGCTGCGTGCACAAAAAAGGTCCTTATTCCCTCAATTTCTATCTATCCATCCTCCAACTGACAGTTTATGGCATTCCTAAGAGAAATTAAAAAGAATGAAGCACGGCCTTTCCTCATACAGGCAATAAACTGTATTTCCACTGAACTGAATTCTGCGTAAGGGAGAAGGGTATAAAACAAAAAAAAAAAAAAAAAAAAGAAAACCAAACCAGGAACAGCCACAGCATTCAGCGACTTCCAAACTTAAGCAGTGAAAGCAAACACGATCACCTTGGCAGCCCTTGTTTGCAAGACATCCCACATATGCCTGGTCAGACAACTGCAGTCTTCCTTTGAGCAAGTAGCAGCGCGTTCCCGGGGCTGTGTTAATTCCTGGGCTCGGAGTTAAGGTTTCCTGATACTTGACTTTTCAGAGCTCCTTTCGAACCACCCGGCCTAAAGCTCACCTCAGGCTGGGTGGTTTTCGAAAAGAAAACCCACATCAGAGTTCAGCATCTCCCCTTCCCAGCTATTAAAAGTCTTCCAACAAATTAAAAAGCTTCACCTTCGTTTCTCGTTTACTTCTCCAACAGCCTTTGAAACCTCACTGTCCTCCTCTTCCTCCCCATTATTTTTCCCCTCTTAATAACCACAAACATTCCCAAAACAGGGAGACCTCGTCATGCAAAGAGCAAAAGCGCACTGCACCAATGCCTCAATACCTCTTTGGTGTGGAGCTTTGGCTATATACTGCATCACCAAACCAAAGAGCACTCACCTTTTTGGAAAGGGGCATAATGCTGCTAGGTCGAACAAGTCGTCGCTTCTTACAGCTCAGTACTGGGCGAGTGCGAGCTGCTACACATGTTCCATCCGAAGATGAAGAAACCATGTTCAGTCGTTGCTTTTTATGCAAGAGCTCCTCAGCTTCCTGGCCATCTCCCTGAGCGTGTTCTGCCAGGCCAGGCTGAAGACTGCCCGAGAAGAGACGAGAATAAAAAAGATACCGTTATTCATTCAACCATCCCATGTTACCCAGCAGTACCAGCCAGGTTCACGATTCAGACCTCAGCAAACACTCTAAGCTGAGTTTAAAGCACTGCAGTTTCACGAGGCAACAGCTTTTATTAAGCCAACTCTAATTTTTGCTTTTACTTTGGTCACTCTCCACGCTCTCCCACCACTGAACCTTTGATGAAATACCTTTGGAAGTTCTGAACAAAAAATGGCATTTAAAGCCGGACGCAGAGCAAGACCGAAAGCCATTCCAGACCTGAACAGCTTTAATCCTAGAATTCATCTTCCCCCAGAATTACAGTTCAGGGCATCTTAAGACAACAGGTTCTCATGAGTCGAAGTGCCAGAGGGCATAAGACAGAGAATGTATAATTTTCTAGAAAAAACATTTAACCTTGATGTAAACTTCATTCTGAATAATATTTGAGAACTATACCTCAAACAATGCTCAGCAGTGACAGCAGAAAGGCGCAATGTTAACATTGACCTTTCTGGTTTACATACGAAGGAGTTTCCTGTCCGCAGGCAGTAAAACCCTGCCCTACCGTGGCATCAACGCACCACGCCACCTACCAAATATCAGCACAGCTCCTCATCTACGGAACTTTTTCATGTATATTTTACAAGCGTTTCATTTCTAAAAACGCAAAACATGAAAGCCCTGTGGTCTAAAGCTCTGCAGTTCAAAGGCTACAGGTATCTAAAGGGCTTTGCTATAGCCTCCAGTGTTTCAGCTGTAGCAATGAGTTCGTGGATCGGCGCTTTCTACGCTTGCTCACACGGCACCGGTGCAGCATCCGTCCCTCCTCAAGGTACTAAGCAAGTGCAACGGTGCTGGCAATGCTTCTCCAGCCACTGTTGGAACTTCGAAGCACCAGGTGCTCAAGGGTTTTCAAGTGGTTCAACCCTGAAATCATCCTGTAGCGTAAGGAAAATTTCTTTCATTTGTTTTCATTTATCCACTTGAAGACTTTCTCAACAAAAACAGCCTGGAGAAGCAAAGAATTTAGAAAGTCTTACTCCCCAAATCAATGGGATTTGGGTTCCTCATTTTCTCCGGAAAAGTGGGCCAGTGGTTACAGATACTTCTGCAAAATAACTGCAAGTGGGCCACTAGTACCTTTGACTCATACAATTTGCAAGTGTATTAAAAATGCCCATAAAGAAACAGTTTTGAACATGCTCACTGCATGGTTGCCTGCAGGGCTTGCTCATGTAAACACAGCTCAGTTTAATACCATTTTCAGAAAAACAATGCAGCAGAAAACCTCAAGCAAGAGATCTCCTCCAAAATATTTCCAAGCATGATCTACTACCATACTTTTTTCAAAAAGAGACCACTTAGACCGTTACCAACCCAGTTAGTCCCAACTAGCATGTTACAAGCAGGTTCCCAATGGGACTTCGTCAAGATGATAAAAATCAAACTCTTCCCATTATATGCAAGCAGCTTACGTGTTAATAACTCCATTGACGGGTCTTGGTGCTCCACAGGGCTTGGTGGGATGGGATTCAGGAGTATTTGCAGCAGAAATACCCACGTTCTCTAGTGGCTGGGATCCAGAAACACTCTAAGGAAGGACGAGAAAGATCATAAATTAATAAAAAAAGCTTCTTAAAACAGCCACAACTTTCTTATTCCCAGTTTCTAGTTGAGGATTCTGCACTGGAGGGTTTCCACACAGGACTTCAAAACAAAGGTTCAGAAGTCACTATGTGAAAAGGAAGGAGACCGGAGACATAAGGACTTCTTAGGGAGTAGCTCTGCAAGAGGATGGAAACACGACAGCGCTTTCATTGCAAGAACCAAAGGACTTCAACTCCCCCCAGACAACCACTAAGGAGCATGAAAGGCTGAGGTCTTTAAGGAGATTTTAGCATTTTGTCTCCAGAGTGCAAACAAGTTCATAACCACCTGTAAACCTCGCAGGCGTCTTCTGAAGTCTGATGTCGTGCTCTAAAGCCACACGGCTGCAAGCTCCTGTCTAAGCACTTTGGGAGAAAACGGGAGGAGAGGGAGAGGAGAACAGACTTGCAAAACTGAATTTGCATTTTAACTAAATACCTGTGCCAACATGGTCCAAACAGCACTCCAAAACGTATTTTAAATGAGTACGCACACAAGCTGTGGTTTTTGGAGGTAAGCAGACCAACGCCATAAAGTTAAAACTGCCGGATAAACACAAAGCTGGAAGCACCTTTTTGGCAGAAGAAAGTAAGTAAAAACTAAGCTGAAGACACAGAGCTCCCCAATCCTTTCTGCTTTAGGTCTGAAATACAAATCCCTCGCTCTGCAGTGCCGGGCAGTCCCTGTGTGGCTGCAGCAGGGACGTTGCACATCTCCCATCACCCTGCGACTAGCCTCAACGGGGACGGGGGGGGGGGGGCGGCACAGCATCCCACCGACGTTCACCACA